TCTAGGTGTGGATTTAAAAAAGTATATTTTTCAAAGGCAATCTAGGCGTGGATTTAAAAACTTATATTTCTTCAAAGGCCATCTAGACGTGGATTTAAAAAATATATTTTTTTAAAGACCATCAAGGCGTGGATTTAAAAAAAATATATTTTTTCAAAGACTATATTTTTTTAAAGGCCATCTAGGAGTGTATTTAAAAAGAATAATTTTTTTCAAAGGTCATCTAGGTGTGGATTTAAAAATGATAAATTTTCAAATGCTATCTAGGCGCGGATTTAAAAAAAGTATATTTTTTCAAAGGTCATCTAGGCGAGGATTTAAAAAAGTATATTTTTTCAAAGGCCATCTAGGCGTGGATTTAAAAAATCATATTTTTTCAAAGGTCATCCAGGCGTATACGTATATTTTTTCAAAGGCCATCTAGGCATGGATATAAAAAAGTATATTTTTTCAAAGGCCATCTAGGCGTAGATTTAAAAAAAATATTCGTTTCAAGTCCATCTAGGTGTGGAATTAGAAAAAAAATCTAAGGCCATCTAGGCGCGGATTTAAAAAAAAATATATTTTTTCAAATGCCATCTAGGCGTGGACTTAAAAAAAGTATATTTTTTCAAAGGCCATCTAGGCGTGGAATCAAAAAAAAGTATATTTTTTCAAAGGCCATCTAGGCGTGGATTCAAAAAAGTAATTTTTTTAAAGGCCATCTAGGTGTGGATTTAAAAAAGTACTATTTTTCAAAGACCATCTAGGCGTGGATTTAAAAAAGTATATTTCTTTCAAAGGCCATCTAGGCGTGGATTTAAAAAAGTATATTTCTTTCAAAGGCCATCTAGGCGTGGATTTAAAAAAGTATATTTTTCAGAGGCCATCTAGGCGTGGATTTAAAAAAATATATTTTTTCAAAGACTATATTTTTTAAAGGCCATCTAGGTGTGGATTTAAAAATGATAAATTTTCAAATGCTATCTAGGCGCGGATTTAAAAAAGGTATATTTTTTCAAATGCCATCTAGGCGTGGATTTAAACAAAATATATTTTTTCAAAGGCCATCTAGGCGTGGATTCTAAAAAGTATATTTTTTCAAAGGCCATCTAGTTATGGATTTAAAAAAGTTTATTTTTTCAAGGACCATCTAGGTGTGGATTTAAAAAAGTATATTTTTTCAAAGGCCATCTAGCCCTGGATTCAAAAAAGTATATTTTTTCAAAGGCCATCTAGGTGTAGATTTAAAAAAGTTTATTTTTTTCAAGGGCCATCTAGGTGTGGATTTGAAAAAGTATATTTTTTCAAAGGCCATCTAGGCGTGGATTTAAAAAAGTATATTTTTTCAAGGTCATCTAGGCGTGGATATAAAAAAAGTATATTTTTTCAAAGGCCATCTAGACGTGGATTTAAAAAATATTTTTTTTTTTCAAAGACCATCAAGGCGTGTATTTATAAAAATATATTTTTTCGAAGACTATATATTTTTAAAGGCCATCTAGGTGTGTATTTAAAAAGAATAAATTTTTTCAAAGGTCATCTAGGTGTGGATTTAAAAATGATAAATTTTCAAATGCTATCTAGGCGCGGATTTAAAAAAAGTATATTTTTTCAAAGGCCATCTAGGTGTGGATTTAAAAAAGTTTTTCAAAGGTCATCTAGGTGTGGATTTAAAAGAGTATATTTTTTCAAAGGCCATCTAGGCGTGGATTTAAAAATGCATAATTTTAAAAGGCCATCTAGGCGTGGATTTAAAAATGCATAATTTTAAAAGGCCATCTAGGCGTGGATTTAAAAAAAATATTCGTTTTAAGTCCATCTAGGTGTGGAATTAGAAAAAATTCTGAGGCCATCTAGGTGTGAAATTAGAAAAAACAATGCTAAGGCCATCTAGGTGTGAAATTAAAAAAAAATGCTAAGGCCATCTAGGCGTGGAGTTAAAAAAGTATATTTTTTCAAATGCCTAGAGATGGGCAGTGGGCAAATACCCGGTAAATTGGGTAAATACCCGGTATATTGGGTAAATACCCATTTGTGGGTATAATAAATACCCACAAACGAGTATTTATTTGGGTATTTACTATATTAAATAGTAATACAACATCTTACACCCTATTTCCGGGTTTCTGTTATGAAATCGATTTAGAATGGACAGGTTTACGATACTTTAAAGATGTGGGTAAATATTTGGGTAAATACCCGAGTTTTTACCCAAAAATTTGGTATAAACTCATTAACTGCTGAACCACTTGACATAGGCGCCCAAAATTTTGAATACATGTTTTTAATGTCAAAGCAAATATAAAAATCCAAAATGGGGTCCCTGGGTCCATGTTTTGATATAGCCCCCATATAACCGTATTTCCCGATTTAAGGTATTTTTTGTCTATTAGACAAACTTTACAACCAAATTGGCTGTAATTTGACACAGAGTGTCCATGCAAAAATTTATGTATGTAGGTTTCATGTTAACTGGTAGTCCCATACAAAGGTACCCCTATTTTGAGTATTTACCGAACAATTGGGTATAAACTCATTAACTGCCGAACCACTTGACATAGGCGACCAAGATTTGGCTCAGATGGTTTTTATATTAATACAAGTAATGGGGTCCCTGGGTCCAAGTTTTGATATAGCCCCCATATAACCGTATGTAAAAAAATATTTTTCAAGAGCCATCTAGTCTAGGATTAAAGAAGTCAAGTACCATCAAGGCAAAGATATTTTATAATAACATTTTTTTTCAAAAGCCATCCAGGCTTGGTTTTAAAAATTATTTATTTAAGGGCAATCTCGAAATGGGTTTAAATATATAAATATAGTGATTCTAGGGCAATACTTAAAAAAATACGTTTTTCTTATAAAAAAAAGATGTTCAAGGGCCACACAGGCATGGAACCATCTAGGAGTGAATTTGAATTAAAAGCAATTAAAGAAAACTTTTTTCAAGCACCATAGAGGAGAGGACCTTTAAAAATGTTTTCAAAGAACTTAAAAAACTTCAGTAGTGTTGGCGGTTTATTTGGGATACCATTTGTATTTTGTTTTTGCAAAATAGTCAGGCTGAATCCCAGTTTGTTGTTTTTATAAAAAAAAAACAACTATTTATTAGTGGGGAATGTATGGCATTGTTTGCCGAGGGGTAAGACAGCAAGACTATAACTTCGGATCACGCCACTGATCCTCATCAGTTCCCTTAGTTTTTTGTTGGGATATTCTCCCCAGAAGCTATTGCTTCTATACAAAAAACCTTTCATACCCAAATGTCTCTTGTAACAAAGCGAAGTACTTAGCTGACCAACGACATAAACTGCATGAGAATTTCGCTGGTGCCTCACTTCGAGGTTAACAAGGCATTTACAAAGAATTCCATACCTTTCCCATTTAAAAAAACATATTTTTCGAAGAACCACCAATTAGTGTTTCCTAAAAAGTTTTCACAAGAATATTTTTTCGAGAACCTCCAAGGAGTACTTTTTGTAAAAAAAATTAAAAATAATATTTTTTTAAGAATCATCAAGGAGGGTCTTTTATATTTTGTTTAAAGAATATTTTGCAAGGACCATTTATGTGTGTGTGTTTAAAAAAAATATTTTTTTCAAATTATTTGGACCAAAAAAAACACTGTCCACACCAATTCTCCCCTCTCTCGTTATTATCTAAATCATTAATGTTTTACATTATTGCTTGTCTCACCATCTGTTTGTATGTGTCTGTGTGTGTGTTCGGTGTATTAACAACAAATACTTAATACCATAACAGCTTGTATTATAATCAAGGACCTTCTTCTACTATCCACTAAACACTGCCACTGCAAAAAAAATTCTGAAGAGCAGAGTGAACAGAAAACCTGACTCTACTCTGACATAAAATAAAGACATTTGCATAAAATTTGCAAATACGGGGAGACAAAGAAAAAAAATACGAAGAATCTTTTTAAAAAAAATATATTTTTGATATCATAACCGGCTGGATATTTTTTAGAAAATATTTTTAAAGTATCCCAGAGAATACGATTTTAATGCCTTCTATTAATAGATAACCCTAAATAGGTCTTCTATGTATTGAAGTCCTCCGAAGTGGCATCAGTCTACATCACACCTTTATAAATTCTTTAAATATTTGAAAATTATTTTCATTTCTGAAAATTATTTATTTCCATTTCTCAAAATTAAGCAAGAAATTGTAAATGCGTGGTTGAAACATTACAAATGAAAAAACAACCACACACACACATTTAAAACCGCATGTATGTTTCATAGAATGAACATTTGTCAGTTTGTAGAAATACCAAAAGTTTCTCGAAGCAACGTTGGCCGAGGTAGGCCGAGAACCGAACGTATTCTACTACTCAACATAAATCAAATAAACCTCAAGTTTTGATGGTGGTTGTGGTTAGATTTTGGAAACTAGGCGAATAGTGAATGTACATACATTGGATTCCATTGAAATATTTAAATAATAGTCAATAGCTGTCATCAGCAGTACCTGCAGCACCTACCATCCATCATCCTTAATCAATCAGTTATATTAAACACCCGCCCCCCCTTCATTCCCCTTTGGTTTGTGTGTTTGGTTTTATAAAAGTGATGACCTCCCAGCCCGACCCTTTTAATTGCCCTATGCACTATCCTCTCGTTCGCTGTCGTTTATATCTCAAATATCATTATTAGCACACCTAGACATGTTTTTTTAATTCGCCTTTAATTTTATAATTCATACCGTCATTCGCAAATTTCTATGCGCCTCAAACCAAAAAAAAACTAAACCAAAATTCGCATGTGTCATTTGACGTCAACAACAATAACTACAACAACTACTACTACTACAAAACACCACCAACACAACAACAACATATTCCCCCTCTTGACCACCACGACGATGACAACAACAATGACCATCCTTGTCCTCCAACAACACCAACCACCACCACCACGGACCACTAATGACAAATCATCACCTCGACCACCACGACGACAACAACAACAACCACTACGATGACACGTTGAACCAAAAAGGTTACCGGATTTTGTCGTTCACCTCAGGAAACCCGCAAAGCGAGTCCCACAGGATCTGTGACATCATCGGTTTCAAATGCAGCCCTAACACCGTCACGCCAATTAACGGATGCCGAAAAATTACGCAAAGTCATATTGGAATTGGTCGATACGGAAAAAACCTATGTTAAGGTAAGTGATAAGAAAAAAAAGTCGCACATATTTTCAATTAATAAGAAGTAGAACAAGGTTCAGATTTATAAACGTGTTTTTTTTTTTTTTGCAGCATTTAAATAATCTACTTGAAAACTATTTGGAGCCACTGAAACGTGAAACTTTCCTATCGAATGCTGAAATCAATGCTCTCTTTGGTAATATCCATGAAATTGTCACATTCCAGAGGCAATTCTTACAAAATCTGGTCGAGGCCTTAGAGCTGGAACCTGATTTCCATAAATTTGATCATCCTAGTCAATATCGAGTAAGTAGCAACACACACACACCCACACATTCTATTAGAATTTTCCATCGAATCCCTAATTTTATTTCTTTTCCTACAGAATGTCCTCTTTGCCATCGGTTCCGCATTCCTTTACTATGTAAATCATTTCAAGCTCTATTCATCGTTTTGTGCCAGCCACAGTAAGGCCCAAAAAGTTTTGCATCCAAGTAAGTTCGATTTCGCTACCCCGTTTCTTTCCCGCAACCTCATTCTACCAACTTTCAGATGAAGGAAATCATGCATTGCAAGAGTTCCTAAATGCTCGCAATCCCAAACAGCAGCACAGCTGTACCCTGGAATCGTATCTGATTAAGCCCATACAACGTATCCTAAAGTATCCCCTGCTATTGCAACAATTGCGTAATTTAACCGATTCCCGGGCCGATGAACATTTACACTTGTGTGGTAAGACAATCTAGAAAACCCTTCCCCGGATCTAAATTTGTTTATATTCCGTTTTCTATTTTTTTTTCACAGAGGCCCTCAAGGGCATGGAAAAGGTAGCCGAACACATCAACGAAATGCAAAGAATCCACGAAGAATATGGTGCCATATTTGATCATTTGTTCCGTCAACATCAAAAGGCCTGCAAACAGCCCATTGACTTGAGTCCAGGTATGCATGGACAGCTACTGAGATTTCCAGAGCTTCCAATGAAAATTCATTTTTGTTATATTCACTCCTTAGGTGATCTTTTGTATTACGGCGGTGTGGAATGGTTGAATATTTCCGATTTTCTGGGCAAAATCAAAAAAGGTTTGGAGCTACATGCCATGTGCTTCGTATTTAAATCAGCGGTTGTGTTCCTTTGTAAAGAGCGTCTAAGACAGAAAAAGAAATTAATGGTAAGTTCAAATTACTTTTGCAGCATCAGGAAATCACCATCTCACTCTTTCAGTTGCTTATTCTCCCATTATATATCTACGACTCTCTTACATTGCTTCATCGTTTTCAGGCTCAGATTCAATTAACATTGACTTCCAAGTCAATGACTATTGACTTCCAAGTCAATGACTATTGACTTCCAAGTCAATGACTATTGACTTCCAAGTCAATGACTATTGACTTCCAAGTCAATGACTATTGACTTCCAAGTCAATGACTATTGACTTTATAGTCAATGACTATTGACTTTATAGTCAATGACTATTGACTTTATAGTCAATGACTATTGACTTTATAGTCAATGACTATTGACTTTATAGTCAATGACTATTGACTTTATAGTCAATGACTATTGACTTTATAATCAATGACTATTGCCTTTATCGTCAATGACTATATAGCCAATGACTACTGCCTATTCAATAGTCAATGTCTATTCAATTCATAGTCAATGACTATTGACTTTATAGTCAATGACTATTGACTTCATAGTTCAATGACTACTGACTTCATAGTTCAATGACTATTGACTTTATAGTCAATGATTATTGACTTTATAGTCAATGACTATTCAATTCATAGTCAATGACTATTGACTTTATAGTCAATGACTATTCAATTCATAGTCAATGACTATTGACTTTATAGTCAATGACTATTGACTTTATAGTCAATGACTATTGACTTTCTAGTCATGACTATTGACTTTATAGTCAATGACTATTCAATTCATAGTCAATGGCTATTGACTTTATAGTCAATGGCTATTGCCTTTATAGTCAATGACTATTGACTTTATAGTCAATGACTATTGACTTTATAGTCAATGACTATTGACTTTATAGTCAATGACTATTGACTTTATAGTCAATGACTATTGACTTTATAGTCAATGACTATTGACTTTATAGTCAATGACTATTGACTTCATAGTCAATGACTATTGACTTTATAGTCAATGACTATTGACTTTATATTCAATGACTATTGACTTTATAGTCAATGACTATTGACTTTATAGTCAATGACTATTGACTTTATAGTCAATGACTATTGACTATACAGTCAATGACTATTGACTTTATAGTCAATGGCTATTGCCTTTATAGTCAATGACTATTGCCTTTATAGTCAATGACTATTGACTTCATAGTCAATGACTATTGACTATACAGTCAATGACTATTGATTTCATAGTCAATGACTATCAATTTCATAGTCAATGACTATTGACTTTATAGTCAATGACTATTCAATTCATAGTCAATGACTATTGACTTTATAGTCAATGACTATTTCCTTTATAGTCAATGACTATTGACTTCATAGTCAATGACTATTGACTTCATAGTCAATGACTATTGACTTCATAGTTCAATGACTATTGACTTCATAGTCAATGACTATTGACTTTATATTCAATGACTATTGACTTTATAGTCAATGACTATTGATTTTATAGTCAATGACTATTGACTTCATAGTCGATGACTATTGACTTCATAGTCAATGACTATTGACTTAATAGTCAATGGCTATTGACCTAATAGTCAATGGCTATTGACTTTATAGTCATGACTATTGACTTCATAGTCAATGACTATTGATTTCATAGTCAATGACTAGTGACTTCATAGTCAATTACTATTGACTTCATAGTCAATGACTATTGACTTCATAGTCAATGACTATTGACTTCATAGTCAATGACTATTGACTTCATAGTCAATGACTATTGACTTCATAGTCAATGACTATTGACTTCATAGTCAATGACTATTGACTTCATAGTCAATGACTATTGACTTCATAGTCAATGATTATTGACTCCATAGTCAATGATTATTGACTTCATAGTCAATGATTATTGACTTCATAGTCAATGACTATTGATTTCATAGTCAGTGACTATTGGCTTCATAGTCAATGACTATTGGCTTCATAGTCAATGACTATTGACTTCATAGTCAATGACTATTGACTCCATAGTCAATGATTAATGACTTCATAGTCAATGACTATTGACTTCATAGTCAATGACTTTTGACATCATGGGCAATGACTATTGACTTCATAGTCAAAGACTATAGACTTCATAGTCAATGACTATTGACTTCATAGTCAATGACTATTGACTTCATAGTCAATGACTATTGACTTCATAGTCAATGACTATTGATTTTATAGCCAATGACTATTGACGTCATAGTTAATGACTACTGGCTTCATAGCCAGTGACTATTGACTTTATAGTTAATGACTATTGACATTATAGTCAATGACTATTGACTTCATACTCAATGACTATTGACTTCATAGTCAATGACTATTGACATTATAGTCAATGACTATTGACTTCATAGTCAATGACTATTGACTTCATAGTCAATGACTATTGACTTCATAGTAAATGACTATTTACTTCATAGTCAATGACTATTGACTTCATAGTCAATGACTATTGACTTCATAGTCAATGACTAATGACTTCATAGTCAATGACTATTGACTTCATAGTCAATGACTATTGTCTTCATAGTCAATGACTATTGATTTCATAGTCAATGACTATTGATTTCCTTCTTCCATTGATATTAGAGTCAATCCACCTATCCCTCCTAGAAATGTCCCCTTTCCCAAAATGATCTACATCTCAATTTTCTGTAATCTAAATTTTTCTTTATTTTCTCTTTATTCTTCCCCTTAGGGTGGCTCGAGTAAAAGCACTCCCAACGAAGTGGAAATCATACGTTATCAAGTCTTAATACCCGTTACTGAAGTCCAGGTGCGCGCCTCATCGGCCAAGGATATGGATTCACATTTCCTTTGGGAATTGATACATTTGCGTTCCCAGCTGCAACGACGTTCCGAAAAGGTCTATGTGCTTTCGAATAGCACTGCAGATTTCCGTAATGCATTCCTAAAGACCATACGCCAGATAATACGTGAAAGCGTACGCAATATGTCGATTCCTATGAAGAATTTCGGTGGTAGTTCGGGTTCGGTGTCGGGTATGTCATCACAGGGTGGTTGCTCCGGAAGTTCACAGACCTTGGAAAGGCCCAAGCAGCAGGTAAGCTATTGCATTTTTTGCTATACAGAATATAGGCTTGATTCTCTTTCCGTCTCTATCATCACCAAATGACTAACCAAATGTATTGCTAATGTTTGTAATACCTC